TGTTCTTTTCAGATCAATCACTGAGGCACAGAATCGTTGGATTGATTTGCCCAGGGTCATGCAACTAGTACTTAGTGAAGCCAAGAACTGAATCCAGGCTCTTGAATTTACAGCAACAAATGGAATCAAGACTGTAACTGAAAGACAGGCAAGTCTTTTAAGAAGGAAGGGGTAAAATTCAAGGTCAAAAATCCTTTTTACTATATAATGCTTTATTATTTCTGAAAGAAAGAAATTATACTTAATATGGTTATATTAGGCAGTTCTTTTAAATTGGAAAGTTATTATAACATAGTTTAAAGAGTAATGCCATGGGGATGGAGAAGGGCTGTCACTCTGCCTACACAGAATAAAACATGCTTTTCTCCTCTCCTGTGCAGAGTGCCCAGCACATTGTAGCTTCTGAATAAGCAGTGGCTCAAAGAGTTTGTACCACAGTACAAATTGCAAGGCACATTGTGTAGATGGCTGCTCAAGCGCGGTCACAGAAGCATGCCTGACTTTATAAATAACCCCAAGTTTCTTCAAGCACAGAGTTAGTCTAGTTCACCGTTCCATAATACAACTCTCTCTCTCTCTCTCTATATATATATATATATAGACTATATATATATATATATATTTATATATAGTCATTACATATATATGTATACATGCATATATATGACATATATATGTATACACACATGCATATACACACAAGATAGGTACTATTAGTGTTAGTAATACACACACACACACATATTAAAACAAATTTCTTTTTTTTTGGAGAGGTTTTTGCTATAGGGTGCGTGCGCTCGCCAGGAAGACAGAGAGAGACAGAGAGACAGAAAGCAAGAAATCACCCCCCAGCAGAGATGGCCACGCCTCAACCCTTCTCCTCTCTTCTCCTCTTGGGATCTTGGGCACGCACGCACATGCACCTGGTATGAGTTTAAGCACCAGGTTCAGGACTAGAACCGCGGTTGACTACGTGGGAGTCCAGCAACATAGCTATTACGCTAACTGCTGGACCCAACAAATTTCTTAATTTGCAAGATTGCTCATTTAAAATGAAGTCATAAGAAATGGCTCAAGAATAAGAGCTTTTACAGTAGTAGATCTATTTGGGGGTGTGTTTTTCACTTAAGTTTTGGTGGGGACACATACGTTGTTGCCATTCCTTTGACTTCTTCGTTTTCCTGGTCCTCTAACTTCTAACTTCTTCCCTCTTCTCTCCTCCCCTGTTCTGTCCGACTTCTCTTCTGGGATCAGGACTTCAAGAGTGAGAGATTCCCTGGGCCTATCCAGAGTTTGGGCTCTTCCATCCTCCTTACCTAGATTTTCATGATGATTTGTTCTCAAGTTTCTAAGTACAAAAGAGCCTTTGAATTTATGTATACTTATTCATTGCCTGGAGACATAGTGAAGAAAAAGGTATATTGCAGCCTGCCCCATGGCCTGGTGACTAAGGGAGTCAGAATCCACATAGCTGACCATGCAGTGTGAATCCTGGCCCCAACAGCTTGAAAAATATGCCTTTGGACATGTGTGTCCCAAATGCCAGAGGATGGAGAAATGGAGGACAATGCAACATGACCACGCCCCCTTAGGGGTGCTTTCTCATTTTCTCTCTGTCTCTCTGGTGAGCACATACACCCTCTGGGAAATGAAAGAAAGAGAGAAGAAAAGAATTTATGTAGGACATCCAGTCTTAGTTGGTAATTTCTGTTAGTCAGATGCTAGACCACGGCTTGTAAAACATGCCAAAATTTTTGCTGCATATCTTTCAGCTAAATTAAAAAAAATATTTAATTGGATTAAATATTATAAATTCAAGTTAGGAATTTACAATCATTTATGAATTCATATTTGCAACTTATGTACAGTTCCCCTCACAGGATTGCTTAATAGCTATTAATGTACATTGTGATTGAGTTTAAGTTTATTAATGTATTTCTTTTATGGAGCAAGAGGGCAGGTGCACTAGTACTCCTAATAGGGTTTCACATGACATAATCCTCTCCCCACCCAGATCTGAACCCAGGCTCCCATGTGGCTCTAGCAAGGGGCATCCCTGTTTGGGCCCTGTGACTGAGTTTTCCCCCTTAATTTATTGTAACGCTATCAATGTCAAATGAAACACTTTCATCTTTCGCTTCCCTTCATGTTTGATCAGTCCTTCATTTTCCTTCAAAAATGTTAACATACACAGTTGAGGCTGTAGAGTCCCTTTAAATACCTTAGAGATAGGACCTGAACATTTATCTACAGCTGCCTATGTGCTTGTTACATGCAGCAGACATCCCCGTAATTTTTTTTCACAGCCATCTTCTACGTAAGGCTTTAGAAAAATTTGTCATGGCAACATTCATGACACTAGCCACATTCCTTCGCTTCAAAACTCTGGCTTTGTTGCACCTGGAAATTCTATTAGAGCCCAGTGACATACCACCGGCTCCACTACCTTCCAGCCAGGCTGAGGGCACCTTCCCTCGAAATCTGCTGGCGGATAGGCAATCATTTTAATAGATACTTTGGAAAACAGAAATGATCAGTCCACTCTTGTAAGTTTTAAGGTCCACAAAATGCACTGACACTTGATCTTTTTCACGAAACTCCTTAGCACATGGTACACAATTTGGGAAAGCCATTTCTCCACAGTTCATTAATCATATCTGCCACTGATTCGGCATTTTATCCATTGCTTATTGTCTGCTTGGCCAGGTGCTAGGAACAGGTAAAACAGAGGAAGGGATAAAGGTTTCTGGTCATCCTTCAGTCCAGTGTTTTCAGGACTTGATGAAACACACCACGAACAAGCAAGTCGAGAGGGCCTTATTTCAGAGGTGCAGAAGGAATCTTAATAATAACTGTGTGTCTACCCAAATGTCCTAAATGAACTACTCGGCTTTGCAAAACCTACCATTACAACGCCTCCTAATAAACTGGGAATGAAGACTACTCTGGCTTAAACCTATTACTGCATATTTTTTGCCTCTCCAATCCTCTGGTAGGTCATTGAAGTTCATTTCTAACACACCTCTCGAAAGAGGCTGTGCCAGCATACTGGAAGTTCATAATTAAGTCAGTGTTTGTGTGTGGGGTGGACTGGGAAAAAAAAACAACCATTAATTATAGTTTAGTTGTTGAGGGCCTGCCAGACGAAGTAGCAGGAACTCGAGAAAGCGGCTAAAGCTTTCCTCATTTTTAAACAAAAGTCGCACGGAATTTCCCGGCGGGACCTGGGAACGTGGGGGTGCGCTCGCCACTCCCAGAGACGAGGGCGGATTGCGACGCTTGACCATCTCTCTGCACCCCACCCCCAACTCTCGGTGCTCGGTCTGAGGCCCTGGTCGAAAAGCGCGGATGCTGCCTTGGGCTCTGGGGGTCTAGGGCCTCGGCGCTGGCGTCCTGCTCTCGGGACAGGCGGCGACAACGCGCACGGAAGTGCGCTCCGCTCTCCCCAGTCGGAGGACGACTCTCCTCCCCCACTTCCTCCTTGGGTTGGGTGGCTCAGCCTCCCGGGCCGGCTCCTCCTCCTCCCGCCTCCTCCCACCGCCCGCCGCCCTGTCAAGCCCGAAGTGCGGCGCTCTCTCCCGCAGTCCCCAACCCGAATCGCGGCTTTGAGCGGCCAATTGCGAGGGAGGTGAGGGGGCGCCCACGTCGTCCCCGCCCGGTTTGCACTGTGACCCACTTCCCGGGTGGCCGCTCCGAAGCTTAGCCTTCCTGCCCCCCCTGGCACT